ATCCTATGACGTCAGACATTGATTAATCAATCAGCGTTGACGTTTCTAGTGATTTAGCCACAGTTCCGTGCATCGCACGTTAAGATGTCGCCGTAACAGATGGTTTCATTGGCTAATCCCTCACGCCATCCAGAACGCAGGTACAACTCTTCCGGATCCTAGTGTAGTACAAATAAAACGAAATTTGGAACTATAAAAAACGAAATAGGATCTGTGTTTTAATCAGTTTGAGCACTGCAATACTGCGTCTACCGACCATGGCTCAGTGAGAATGGTACTAGCTCACTAATCAGAAAGCCCTGGTTTCGATCCTGGTGTTGACCGACAACGTCTTTAGGGATTTGCCACCCTTGTCAGTGGTGCTGTCCACAGGGCATCCACGGATGAACGAAACATCGAGGTCTCGTATATACAACTGACACGTCAAGGACCCCCTGGCAGTTGAAGAAGTATGTGTAGATCATAAAACAAAAAACAAACTCGGCAGAGCCTCGGTTTTCTTTTTACTTTATCGACTTGTGTTGATAGTTTTTGATATCAAAAAAGACTCGTAGGAGATTCTCTATATATACAGAGAAATATAAGACAAAACCACACAAATGTGATTTGGTGCAATTTGAGACCGTGATTTCTTACAGTCAACGTATACAATCTGGTTGATAAAAATAACTTAAAGATCTTAGTTAATTTTCTTTTGTTCATTTTTTTAAATGAGTAAAATCAATCAGTGTTAGTCCTATGAGACGTGTTGGCTTAGATAATACTATAAACGTGCGTTTCCGTACCCAGCGAATAGAAATCAGAGTTCCAATATTGTAGTTAAAAGTATAATTTATTCAAGTCAATATCAAAATATATGAAATAAAAATACGAATATATAAACAAATATAAACAATTATGGGTGGTGTAAATATGAAAATATAAACTAAATATAACTCGCTTTGTGAGAGATATCTGATGTCTGAAATCATTTAAATGTTAACTATAAACTAAAGTAAAACAAGTATACTCGATTATAATAAAATCGTACTTTTCCGTTTACTAATTTATGTATTATTATTATATACTTAAAGCAACCGCAATACATTATTAAATCATCGAAATCTAAATATAAACAAGTATTAATTCGTTTTTGTATAAAGAAACGTACTTTTCCGTTTATATAATCATGATATCATAATTTGATATTTGAGATAAATCGACGAGTATTTTAAATCAAGTTTATTTTACTAAACAAATATTCACTAGATTTGTTATATCATACTTTTCGACTTCGTAAAAACGTTATATAAATCAATGAATAACAGAGGTTATTTTATTTAAATTAGCTGGTATAAACTAGAAGTATGAAATATATCTTTTATTAATTCAGTTCACCGATGCTATAAAATAACTAATTGAATCAATATCAAATCTTATTCTTACGAATACATAATTCATACAATACAAAAACATAGAAATAAACTTAAAACATTTTACATACAATGAATAAAGAGACATACCTTAGAATAGAAATCAGAGTTCCAATATTGTAGTTAAAAGTATAATTTATTCAAGTGGCCACTAAACGATTCTCCGCGAATTTAAAGGCTCGAATGTCCGAATATTTTCTAGTAATTTGATTGGTGGATGTTATTCGTTCAAAAATAATTGTTTTACATTATCAAATTCACCATTTGTGTAGCTGAAAGTTTTTTGAACAACAATTTAGCTTCACCACTAAGATAAAAAGATAAATTTGATAATTTTAATTTATCATCGTTCACTTTGTGAATTGCGATCAGATTTTCAAAATCCACTATAAAAGATGAAGCTGTTTTGTGGCCAGATCCACTAAATTTTGCCAAATGAATAGAACTCATCGTGTATGCGTGTCTATCGTTTTCTGCCGTATGGATAATTACCGATTGAAGTTCCGGTTGTGTCACTTCCGGCAAATTGTTACTAACGGTTATTTGTTCGGTTGCTTCCGGATTTGAAGTTTCAGCTTCGGTAATTTCCGTTTCTTTCCGACCTGTTTCTTTCACTACGTGGCTGCGTAATTTCGGAAAATTATCTGGATTCACTCCTTTATCAGACATCAGATGGGACTTTAAAACATTCCCCCAATTATAAACGTGTCACAATTAATTATACTTAAAACCAATCTAAAATGATACACAATAAAGGACTCTTATAGTGTCTCTTTAATCCGTCAATATTCTTATATAGCAGAGTTAAGCTGTTATCTATCAACGTCAACAAGGAAATGTTACTTTAGTTTTAAAATAAAATACGCAATTTAAATCTTATTAATTAAATACGTATGCAAATTATATATGAGAATATACACTACTACAATACCCCCACTGCGTATTTAAAATTTTGCCCCCGAAATTAATAATATCAAATATGGTAACCATTTAAACTATGATATATAATATGATATAAGATAATATAATACAAGTTTATATACAAAAATATAACACAGGTGTAGAACATTACTGAGCTTATTATTGCTCTAGAAAATATAATGGGAAATTAATTAATGAAAATGTGCTGGTGTCAAAACCGATGTATAACCATGTTCAAATAATAAATGGGTTGTAAATGAATGGCTAAGTATATTTTTAAGTTTAAAGGCTTGTAACCAGGTCCATTTTATTTTTTTTTTAACAATAAGAGTTTGGTTGGTAATTCTATTTGTGACAGTAAATTTTGGCATATCTAAAGTGAGATATGGAAACCAAGAATATTTTATTTGAAAATTACCAATGTATTCCGGGTGGATAATGTTCCAATAATTTGAGCATAAAGGTAAATATAAAACGGGTAAATGCACACACGAATAGCCGGAAGTTACTTCTAAAATAGTAGCTTGTATTTTTCTTGCTTGCCAAAATTTATACAAGATAATGAAAGTTGTAAATATACAAAAACTAACAGCTAGAATGCTAATATATTGTGTGTATACCGTAGAGGCAATCTCGTCTTGTGATTTTACTTCCGAGTGATAGACCAACGACGGTAAATTATCCAAAGATGCTGCTTGAGCCTTTTTCAATAACCACATAGCTGTATTAATTGTTCTCAATTTGTAAAATAGCCAAAAAAAAATTATAAGGGTAAACACAGATACAATTAGCGATCCTATTGCTAGCATTGTTTTAGTGTCAAAATAAGATGTAGTCATTTGAATATGACTTCATTTGAATATGACTATCTAACATAGATTCTGACCAAGACTTATATATTAATTCTACATTTTTGGGGGCTTTTGACCATGCGTTCCAAACTTAAATGGCTTGATTTATCATTAGCAATCACATTATTCATTGCATGAAAATATAACTTAAATTGTGGTATATTACTTATATTTAATGGCTTCGGATATATGGTACTGCTTGCAATAAGCCATTTAATCTGAATCGCTAAAGAAATGTTGCAATAATGCGTGATTAATTGGATGCAACTTAGAAATAGTATCCGACTTATTGACACATTCGGTAATTATTAGTTCTTGGGTAGATACTACATCTACAAGGAATGGACATAATACAAAAATTACACCCTTGAACCATCTTTTGCCTATCATGACATATAAAAGCCAGAGCATGGATATTGTACACTAAAATTGACGTAGAAGATAATTGCTTAATAGTTTTAAGGTTATTATTTTGGTGAAATCTAAAGTCACATTGTAATTTAATATTTTCCTTGTTGTCAAGAAACAGCGCATGTTCACACGAAGCGACCATGCTTGCGTATAAATTACTTTTAAAGAAACACGTGAGATGATCTTCATCTATACAATGTTTAATGGTTTCCGAATTAAACGTAACATAATGTTGTTGATCGTTAGTTACAGCGATATATTCTTTTAAACCAAGAAGTTGGGAGGTGTGGGGTGAAGATTGGTTTATGGGTACAGGCATAGTCATGATTTTATATAAATTTAGTTTCTTAACAACAGCTACAATAGGAATTTTCTTTGATAAATAAATGTTTGACTTATGTCTAGTAACTATAAATTTTGAACTAGAATAATAATATTGGACATCTCTATGTTATATTTCATAATTAGGATAATTGGATTTTAACAATTTATTTAAATGATGAAGAGTAAGTGAAAGAGTTTCCGAAATAATAATTAAAGAAAATAGTTTATTCTCCATTAATGTTTGAATTCCAACCTTTAATTCCGCTAATTGATGTTCAACAGTTATTGCTTGTTGAATTTGATCGGAGATAATGTGAGACATAGCTGCCATAGCTTCTCTTAAATCATTATACGTGGACTCATTGTTTTTGGTAGCGAAAACAATTGCTTCATGATTTTGTTGGATACCCTCCATAGCTTTATCAAATCTGGTATTATCCTTAGTTATAAAAGATGAAAAATGTTTAGCATGTTGAGTAAGTTACTTAGTAATTTGATAATCGTGTTTAGTAAGCACATTGGTGTGTTCAGACAACAACTTTATATCATCTTGAGTTGCTGTACCGAAAAGTGATTTTGAAAATTCGCCTATAAACCGTAGGAGTGATCTTTTAGATCTACTTAATGGTACATGTTTACTTTGTGGCAATAAACTTGTAATAAATTTAACAGTTTCATTAATATTAGTTGTAGTTCTAATTTTAATCAGATTAACCTCTTTTAACAGCTGATGCATAAGAATGCAAGATTGTTCATTTTTCGTACATTTAGGAATTTGTGGAATATTCTGTACAGTTGAGAGAGGAATTTCAAACGTATGCATCCAATTTTCGACACCAAACGTTACAGTCTCTGGCGATTACGATTGTCGTTACCTTCGTTTGTCTTCTGGGTGTCAGTCTAATGCCTGGCGTGAAACATATTGTTTGAATGCGTCGTAATATTTGAATTATTGATATCGAAATTGAAATATTGGCTGTTATAGACATATAATGTCACCGTTCTACAAACCCATTTGTTCATCCCTAGTAGAAGCATAATTATTATCTTTGATTCTGTTAAAGTTTTGGAATAAAGCAATTCAGATCCCACGTAACCAAGAAAACCAATTACAACCAATGCCAAAGCGATAAATAGTCTAATTCTGTAAAAGTTTTGTTTTGGAATAAAGAACTTCCGCTCCCACATAACCAAAGAAACCAATTACAACCAATGCCACAGCGATAAATAGTCTAATTCTCAGACACATGAAAACTCCACAGATGAAAGTAGCAGTATAACCCAACGCCCTTGATGTACAATAGTTGGCAAAAGCTGAATCGATCTTTTCTTTAAACAAAATACTTATCAAAGCTGAAAATAAATAAATAAATAAATAAATAAATATATAAATAAATAGGAATGGCACTAGTTCGTGACATGACATGACATGACACTAGTTCGTAACAATTCATGACCACAGACCACCCATGACATAGATACGAGATTGTTACCAAATCGTTGGTCTTTTGATGCAATCTGATTAAAATACAGATCTATATTTCGTTTCGTTTTTTCTATACTTTCGATGGCCTCTACTACATGAAGATCTGACCGGTGGTAGTGGAAGGTCGCATCAGAGGTCATACGAGGGTCTGTTGACCCTATGACGTCAGACATATGATTAACCAAACTGCGTTGATGTTTCAAGTGGGTTACCCACAGTTCCGTGCACTTCACCGCAAAAACTCGCCGTAACAGACCCTTTCATTGGCTAATCCCTCACATCAACCAGAACGCGGGTTATATAACAACACTTTCAGATCCTAATGAAGTAAAGACAAATAAAACGAAATTTTGAACTATAAAGAAATAGGATCAGATTGATTTTGTTGTTTTAGGCATTAAATTTAAGACGTTATACAGGTGTGTGGTGGCCGCTGATTTTGCATGTTCTCGTGGGATGCCAATATTTATTTCATGGACGACTGGTTTGGGCATGCGGGGTAAGGCTAGAGTCGATTTGTAGCACATCTAAACCAGAGTATTTTTGTATGACACTGGTTTAGAAATATGACTATGAAGTTATGAAGATCAGAAATCGCCAATAGGACTGAAAACCGCATTGAACCTGATGTGTTATATTATTTCATTTGAGAAGGGGGCGGGGGGGATGACCGAATGGTTAGCACGTGCGCGCTGTATCATACGGCATTTCATTGAGTCATCTGGCGTAGTTTCGAATCCCCTTTGTACGCGAGAAGGAGTAGGGTCGCCTGTCCAACCTCGTGGCTTTTCTTTGGTTTCCCCCCACTGCTAAAGACCCAACGCGCAAGCGAATTATTGAAATAAAATTAAACCATATCTTAGTCCCGAAATGACCTAGTTTGTGACGAGTGGACGTTAAACCCCATTTCTCTCTCTCTCTCTCTCCCTCTCTCTCTCTTTCTCCCTCTCTCTCTCATTTGAGAAGGGATTAACAACTCAAGCAGGCGCAAAAACTCTAAATCCTTGACGCAATTGTACGTAACTGAATCAATACTTACAGTTAAACTGAGCCAGATAAATGGCCTCCGAAAGGGCTCCGAGGCTTGGAATTATAAAAAATAGATATAGTTGATGTTCATTTGGTTTCCAAAAATAAAAGACTAACAGCATTGTCATATCTGCACACATCGCCAGAAGAAACAAAAAATATCGTCCTGTATATTGAGCTAGATGTCCAATCAGTATGGCAAAGATGGCCGTACTTCCGCCGTAACACGCCATTATAAAACCGACCATTGAAACACCTAATGAGCAGCTGATGTACGCCTGTAAAGAAAACCTCAAATGTATTTAAAAATGATCATCCTAGTATAGATTTTGTCCCAGAGAGAGAGAGAGAAAGAGAGAGAGAGAGAGAAATGGAGTTTAACGTCCCCTCGACACAAACTAGGTCATTTCGGGACCAACATATTGTTCAATTTTATTTCCATAATTTGCTTGCGCGTAGGGGTCTTTAGCAGTGGGAGGAAACCGGAGGACCCGGAGAAAATCCACGAGGTTGAACAGGCGACCCTACTCCCTGTCACATACAACCGGGGATTCGAAACCAGGCCAGTTGACTCAATGACAGACTTTATGATACAGCGCGCACGTGCTAACCATTTAGCCATCCAACCCCCCAGATTTTGTCCCACCTGTACTTTAAATAACACAGCGCCGCTGTCTGGGCACAGTTTCCCTAATAACACACCACATGGCGTATGCAAGTCTTCATTATTCCAGTAGGAGCAGAACAGCAGGACGTTAAACCTCATTTCTATTTCATTTTTATTACTCCGTGGAAGAAGTCGGTAGCATTATAGAATCCTTATGGCATTGAACGAAATTTGAATGTAAACTATAACTCGATAGAATTATCTGTTGAGAAAGGACCACCTACCTTAGTATATTCTGTCAATAGCAATCCTTGATTCATGGCATAGGAAAAAAATAAAGGAATGAGCAGTATCATCTTTTTGTCTGCTAAAGTTGTGCAGCAAGAAACAAGTGATTTCGGCAGAGTTTGTTCATTAGATTTTCGAGGTTTTAAGTTTGGTAAAAGAAAAACTGTCAAACAAAGTCCAAATATATCACAAAGCAAAAAGATCCCCAACAAAATATACACTACGTTTTTATCAGGTTGTTCGATCATGGTGTCGTTTGCTGTTACTGGACAATCTTCAGCACCACAAATTCTAGTGACGTTGTTCGCATTATCGGCATTTGAACTATGGCGTAACACTAATGACGAAATTAAATTTCCAATCACATGGGTTATTTCAAAACACATAAAAAAGATTCCATTAAGCTTGCTTAAAGCAGAATGCATTCCTTCATTCTTTATACGCGAATATGCCTCGCTATTCGCTGCTAAATATAGACCCTGCGACGTCCATATGGGTCCTGTAACTCCCCCTAACATTAAGGACGAGGGAATCAAAGTCCCCCAAGTTGGATAAAAATTGCTTGCTACATACAGTGTATGAACGACCCAGCCAATAACCAAAGAACGTTTGGCGCCAAGAATCTTAATATAAGATGCGGTCGAAATTCCTGACACGACAAAAGCGCCATACAGACACGCAAGGGAAATTATACCCAATCCGGCTTCTTGGTTCAAGCTGCTCTGAAGACCCTGTATGGTCATATACGATGTGAAAATAGCCAAGAAGGAAAAAGAAAGGACTAAAGTATCTCTTAAAGGCTTTTCTGGAACCGGAAGTCTGTTCTCCTTGCCATCCATGGTAAATTATATTAAATTTTAAAACACGACTGATCTTTGTTTAGCACGGAAACAGAGACATTCCATAAATTTCCGTTCAAATTATAAACTTTCTGTATTATGGATCCTCTGATTATGAATACTGTTTAAACCACACGAGGAATAAATGATTCCAATAATTTCTCTCCAAATTTCAAATTTTCCGGATTACGGTGATCTGAATGTGCGGCTCCACTGTACGGGTATCCATCAAACTGCTATATTGTTATTTTAGCTATTAAAAAAATACGAAATTTTGAAAAATAATTGGATACAGAAAAGAAACAAATGCACCTAGCCATATTCGTAATGACGTAGGAAAACTTCAAATTACACACTGCAACCTATGTAATGAAGTGGGGTGAAAAGGGTTCAACACGGGACGTGAACCGCTTGACTAATGAGTCACCGCCACACCCACGGCTCTATCAATATGTGATTCTGAAATTTTTCAGTTGAATAGATTAAAGATACATTAAAGAAGATTTAGATAAAGAGCTAGCCATTCTTGCTATAATAGTTCGAAAATAGTTAATAAAAATAAATGAATAAATTAAAAATTTCATTCAAATTACTCTATTGCGAGTGAAGATATTAGCCTTTGAAGGTTTGACAAGACGTGTGCAATAATATCAACGACCGCACTGGTTGTTCGAAGCTAAGTCTCGCTGCTCCATTTTTAGCTTAAATCAAAATATGGCTGAACTGTTCTAATCTATTTAATATCGGAGAAATCCGATGCCATCGAGAGTTGATTATGGCCTTGATAGGTTAATTAATGTCTGATTGATAATTTAGAAAACATTTCGGGCCTAACGAAAGACCTGCAATAGGCAGATTTAGCTCTCCTTTCGATGAGATTTACCATGGGCATTTCCCCGCAAAGACGTCTTACAAGCCTATCTCCAATGGCTTCCTCTAGTAAGTTTCTTAGGAAACACTTGTCTACGATATCACCCATGGTGGAAGGGGACATAAAACTCTAGAAACGAACGAACAATGGCAATTAGTCTGCGATATCACTTCACTGTGGACGCGGATGTTAAATAAATTCTTATTATACACAATGTCTTTTAATATTTGATCGAACTTGGAATACACAGGGTAGAATTCTATAGAATAAAATTTACCGTGTATATGGTCGCTCAGTTATAAATATTAACTCGATTCCATTGAATGAATGAATGAATGAGGTTTAACGTCCTACTGTTCTCACCCATAGAATTGTGTGAAGTATACAAATAAACAATATCAAATGGTGATATTTGTGCATTTTGTGAAAACTATCAATAGATTATAAATTACAATGTGAATATTACCTTCAGAGACACGATATAGCTCAGTATGTATGCTGCAGTATCACGAACTACAAAATAAGACGAAGAGACTATCTACTTTCTGTCTTGTCTCGTTGCACAACATCACAATATAATCAACCAACCAAAAATGCTATAGTATATATCTTGACAGAATACAGTTTTTATGGGGTACAATCACTAGTTTATTCTGACGGTGTTCTGTCAATGTGTTCCCCGATAGCTAAATGCCACTAAAAGATTAAGTATATATCTTAGTGTACATGTAATTCAAAGTGGATAAGTTATAATTTACTTCTGATCTTGGGAGCGAAGGAACTGTCTTGTCTATTTACCTTTTCTGAACACTTATCTTTAAATAATTCAACATTACTTAAAGGAGCTAAATCGCTAATATTTGGGATCTAGAAATTGACACAAATGGGTCGCAACGAATATAATAATTTAATATGGATATATACAGATTTACATTTAATTGTTTCTGTTTTACTGTAATTTCTAATCAGTTATGTTCGGCGGAATACGCCAGAAGTTTCAACTGAATGGCAATCGTTGGCGTCTGGTTATTCCAGTCTATAGCGAGGGTATTTATTGCGCATTCTCTCCAGATACGAATATAGCGTCACCATTTTGACATGACTTGTGGAATATGTCTAGCCGCGTTCTTTGAGTCCCTTGTTCTAAATGGCGCTGAAACGCATCATGGTACACGATTCGTGTACCAATGGTAAAATGTTTATTGTATCTTGGATATCAGAAGCCCATCTTTTCCCTGTAAGATCACAAGACTAATGTTAATTTGAAATGACAAATAATTCGTGTTTTCAATGTCGAAAATTTTTGATGATATTGAGTTAGAGACTTAGCTACTTTAACATGCATCTTAGTCATTGATTCAGTAGGTACCTATATTTGAGTTACGACTCAGTATTGTAAATATGTTAATTTTTATCACATTTTGTATTATATGTTTAATTCTTATCATGTATATGGGCAAATATTTCTAGTTTAAAGTGGTATTATGGAAGATTAGGTAAAGAGCTGACAGTTCTCGCTATAATACTTAATAAACAGATAATGCAAAGGGAATATGCGGAAAATGTCAGTCAAATTACGTACGTCACTATGATCTAAGAAATACTCATTTCAAAACACTGTAGCCTCGATTGTCATTGTTACCGTTGTCACGATAATAAACAAAGTCTCAATTATCCATTTGTACGGGTAATCATCAAACAGGGCCCGGTTCCTAGAAAATTCTTAAAGTAAGCACAAAGCCATGCTTCACTGTTTCTTACGTAAGAAACTTATAAAAATACCGTCCCTAGAAAATTCTCAAGACCATTCTTACGAAAGCACAAGTCAAGTATAAGTCTAAGCACATTGTGACTGGTAAAGTTTACCATAAACTGAGACTACGATGCTCTTTAACGTCATAAAAACAACTTTGGTATGCGAATTACGTCTTAAATTTGTCGTCTGCTTCATTGACGCCATATATATATATATGGTTCATTCCGATGCATTTGACATGTCCCCTATTCACATATAAAATGTGCCACAAGATAAAAATGGCAGACGCATACAAACTAACTGAATCATTGTGAGAGCGCCTGATCTTAAAGTAGCCTGTGTGTTTGTAGCCTATTGTTTACTGATTGGCAAATAAAATTGTTTCAAGGTAGGCCTAGAAGCGAATTTTTTTTATAGCATTCTTAATTTGAAATTTCTGGAGAAGGATTTTCCTTCTTGTAATTGTCTCTTTGGTATCAAAAGGTGTCGGAAATGTCGTCGAATAACTACGGTCAGCCATCTTTTTGAAGCAGAAACAGACTTAAGGTTGGTAAGCAAGCCGTATACCTTGCTTGGAACTTGTGCGAAATTTTCTATGTTCTATGTCGTCGAATAACTACGGTCAGCCATCTTTTTGAAGCAGAAACAGACTTAAGGTTGGTAAGCAAGCCGTATACCTTGCATGGGACTTGTGCGAAATTTTCTATAGCATTCTTAATTTGAAATTTCTGGAGAAGGATTTTCCTTCTTGTAATTGTCTCTTTGGTATCAAAACGTGTCGGAAATGTCGTCGAATAACTACGGTCAGCCATCTTTTTGAAGCAGAAACAGACTTAAGGTTGGTAAGCAAGCCGTATACCTTGCTAGGGACATGTGCTTAGATTGACTATGTTTAAGAACGAAGTTGTGCTTAAGTTTTTTCTTGGAACGCATAATAACGTTCTTGTGCTTACAATGAAGTCTACTTAAAATCTAAGCACAAGAACGTTCTTAAGAATTTTCTGGGAACACAAAATAAGGTAAGTTTACTTAAATGCAAAGTCTACTTAAATCTAAGCACAAGAACGTGCTTAAGAATTTTCTAGGAATCGGGCCCTGGTATTGGCATTCACGCCACAGTAACCCGTGACATTAGAAGTCACCCACAACATTATCTCGGTTGATATAGAAAAGATGGACGTTTAACCCCATGACATATGCTACAGAGTATTTGCAGGTTTATATTCCTCTAAGACTATGCAATTATAAATACTGAAATGGTTAGAAAAAAAAATATTGTAATTTAAAAAAAAAAAATAAATCAATTAACTTAGGATAACAAAGGAAAGGAATTGTGTTTTACATTTCGTCAACAAAATACATAGGTCAGTTCTTCGTGCCATCCGAAAGACTACGGGTCTTTAAAAATCCCGAGATTCCTCGAACCCCTATTCCTGAAGCATTGGCTTCTGATACTTCAGCTTTTGAGGGAGTATGTCTATTCTTCCCGTTCAATCAAATCTATCCCAAGTACAGCAACATGACAGCCCTTCGTTTAATCTTGGGTCTTCCCTAAAACTTTTTTTAAGGTATTAAAAACGGTGAAAGTCTTGTTCGTCTCCATACAGTATTGTTTACATTGTATCAATGTTGATAGCCTCGTTTGTCACGCAATTAGTTTTTCTGCAATACTCTGCTATGTACTGGTTAATTGGGCATAATAAAATCGTGAGTCATGACGTAACGTTATGTAAACATATTTGGTCCAAGGTGTTTAAAGCGTAATCAAATTGTTGGTTGATAATCGGACTATTGACCAGTCATAATTTGGAACAGAGATTTGCTTCCATTAAAGCAGTGTTTAGTGGGATTAGCTCTAATCAAACGA